TACATGGTAGAGAAGGTAAGAAAGCTATGACAAATATAATCCTGGTGAACTATACTTAAAGAATTGTATGAGCAAAAAATTATTGTGACAATGTAGTAATAAATACTGTCATGAATACAGTTAACATAAAGTATTGTAGACACGATGTGTAATGTACACTCTCTCTCTCTCTCACACACACACTGAGGGAAAAGAGAGACTAGGCTGGAGAGGAGGGCAAGAGGGCCCTGCTTCAGCCCCCCTAATGGGGGTTTCCAAGCCTATGCCACAGAATTTGGCCTAGTCTACATGTATCCTAGACTCAAACAAACATGACCAAAATCTCTCAATACATTTTATATTATTGATGAGTGAGTGAAACATATATGTAAGCAACCAAAATACATACTTCACAACAGTCTTCTTTTGGTCAATATCCTAATCTGTTATAGGGTATAACAAATTGTTATTTAAAATAAGAGATTTAAAAAAAAACTTCAAATGATTGTTTGCTAGTTTTTGTTGGCATTTTGACTTAGATGAAACTTGCGAGCTCAGATGCTTTGCACATCTCTTCTTCTGTAATTAAAGAGAACTGAAGCAACCCTCACCAGACTTCCGTCTTTACATCACTACTAAAATTATTGTCTAACAGTGTTTATAGACACTGATTTCTTTAGGAGTCAAAACTTTGACAGTTTATGTTACTGTTAAATATGTTTATTGTTTTCTAGAAGAAATATTTAGAAAACAACACAAATTTTATTATTATTTTAAAATGACATTTAGGAAAATGTAATTTCTATTCATGCAGAATCTATATTTGAATAGTGCATATATCTGTACTTGAAATAATATGTGACCTGGAGAGGAAAGAGATGGATGTAGATGAGCAGGCCACCTACAGTGTGGTTGGGAAGGTGGAGGGAGCCTGAAGGAAGTGGTCGGAGCACTAGAATGTTGCTGGCTTTCAGGTGTGGTGCTTTTCCAAGCACCTGTCCTCTCTTCTTTAGGGACAAGCATCTACCTTTCCTAGTACAGCCATTCATTTCCACATATGCGCACTGCTCTATTGTATGCATCCCTACCCAGGGAGCCCCAAAGGCCTCCTCTCCTGCTGCTCAAGCAGTTCAAGGAATATTGGGCACACACCGTACTTTATTTTCTCTTTTTATAAATCTCCCGAAGTCATTGTTGATACAATGTGTTTTCTGTAGTCAAAGGAGAATAATAGATAATTGATTCAATATAAAATAATAGAACATTTTCTGATTGCCATAACTAATGTCAGTGCTGCTAACCTCATCAGCTTTCTTCAAGGATGCTCTTTTTGCAAGATCCAAAGTAATACTAACATTTCTTTTCATAAAACCACTTAATATGATAGCATGAAAAGCTATTCATATTGAGCTAGAAGCTAAATATATAACCGTGAAACAGTGTGCACAACAGATGCATAATCAGGATACCCATGATTTCTAAAAGTTCCCACATATTTTTATTTGTATTTTCTTTGAGGTTGAACACAACATGAGATTGAACGTAAGTGACATATGTCATTGGTAGAGCAGTTGCCTGCTGTGGGTTAAGGCTGTGGATTAGATTCTCAGCACTGAGCATGTAATGATAGGGTCTTTTCTGAGACTGATACTCCAACCAAGGACCGGGCATGGAGATAACCTAGAACCACTGCACAGATGTAGATCATGGCATCTCAGTGTCCAAGTGGATTCCGTAGTAATGGGAACAGGGCTGTCTCTGATGTGAATTCAGTTGCATCCTCTTTGATCTCCTACCCCTGAAGTGGGGAGCAGCCTTACCAGGCCACAGAAGACAATGCAGCCAGTCCTGATGAGACCTGATAAGCTGGGGTCAGATGGAAGGGGAGGTGGATCTCCCCTATTAGTGCACTTGGAGAGGGACATAGAAGAAGATCAGGGAGGGAGGGTGGAGTTGGGAGGGGATGAAGGAGGGGGCTACAGCTGGGATACAAAGTAAATAAACTGTAATTATAAAAATAAAAAAATTACAAGCCTTCCAGGAGTAGTTAAACTGATTTGAGATTATACTCTATAGTTTTAGAACCTATTGTTGGTGCACAAATGAAACCTTGTGCCTTTTGACCCATATTTCCTCAAGTTTCCCATACCTTCTGCTGTGTTCCAGTTAAGGTTAAAAAGTTATTTTATTATATTGCAATTATTTAAAAATATATATCATAAATAAACCTATGATATGTGTAAAATTACTATTCTTATAATCAAAGGCACTGAGGTGACAGAATTTTATACCTTGTCTAGGATGAACAACCAGTAAGCAGGAAAGCAGAAGGCAAATGGGTGCAGACTGACATTTAAGTTGAAGGCTCATCTGAGTCGGTGAACTGCCTTGAAAATGCTGAACACTTGCCACGTGTCCAACAGTGTCAGTCTTAGTTTAGACGAGGTACTTGAAAGGCATCACATCATAACTGATTCATTGGTTTGTTTCATGATTCTACTGAGTATCCGCAGCACCCCAGAACTCATGTTAGGCAGAATGGAGTGATGACTCAGGGGAATGATGGATGGACTCTCTGTCTCTTGCCTTCTGAAAGTGAAGGTGTGGCCATTTTGCATCATGGTTCAGAGTCTAGATTTGAAAGCTACTTCTAACAGTTACATGAGGTGAGACTTTGGTAACGTTATTTTAATACTTATTTTTATGGGTGGTGGTGGTATGTGTGTATTTATGTGTGTCTGTGTGTGTGTGTGCCAGGTGTGTGTAGGTGCCTACAGAGGCCAGAAGAGGGCATTTATTCTCCCAGAAATGCGACAGGTGATTGTGAGCTGCTTTAAGGGGAGGCTGAAGCCAAACTCTGATCCTATGGTATACCTGGAGGTATGACCAAGCCATACCTCCAGCCTCCAGTGAAGTTATCTATCTCACAGTGCTTTGGTTTTACTAAATGCAATACACATATATACATGCTTTTATTAATTACAGTTTATTCACTTTGTATCCCAGCTGCAGCCCCTTCTCTCATTCCCTCCAAATCCCACCCTCCCTCTCTCATCTCCTCCCATACCCCTCTCCAAGTCCACTGATAGGGGAGGTCCTCCTCTCCTTCCTTCTGATCTTAGTCTATCAGATCACACCAGGAGTGGCTGCATTGTCATCTTCTGTGGCTTGGTAAGGCTCTCTCCCCTCAGGGGGAGGTGATCAAAGAGCAGGCCAATCAGTTCATGTCAGAGACAGTCCCTGGCAGCTCAGTCTCCAATTGCGTTTCCTGGTACCATTGGATCTTAACTTTCAGAAAGTTAATACACTGGCTTACCCCATGGAGACCACATGACAAGTTGAATGTTTACTAGGTAATTCTTCTGCATGATTTCTTGTCACTGTAAGATAAATGCCATTACCTATTTATAGAAGAAAAATGAAGTTTACTGGGATGAAATTGATTCTCAATCAAGGAGTAAAGTATATGCAGAAATTAAAGTTCTTGTAATGTTTTCATCTATGAATCTTTACTCTCTCCCTAATAGGTATTCTATAGCCATCTGTGAAGAATGCAGAGCAATTTCTTCTGTACTTTCTTACCTGGTTGAATGCTTTGTATTACATGATGTGCATTCACATACTGTGGGTGAGCAACAGTGTGAAGTAATACTTCTTACTGTGGTTCAGAACAGATTCACTGATGTTCAGGTGTGGTTTGCAAATGTCATGATCACATTAAGTGTTGAGATTTATATAGTACCTACCTGTTCTGTTATGGGATTCAGTATTTTTGTGGTTAATAAGGTCATATAAGGACACACATGTATATGGAATGGCTATAAAATACATATAGCCAAACAATCACTCACTATCAAACTGTTCACATCTGAGGAGTCATTTGCTTTCATTTCCATGAAGGAGTGGTGAGATAGAATCTTCTTCACCCACAGGTCTCTTCCAGTTCTGATCATTTCTGCTCTGTCACAACCCCATGAGACATGAAATGCTAAGTCGGGGAGGTGTGGATGCTGGTGATGCTCTGTATTCCCAGAAGTCCATGAGCACCTGAGCTGATAACAAGCTGAGGGACTTTCCAGATATATATATATATATATATATATATATATATATATATATATAGCCCCCAATGCGCTTTCTTTCTGGCCATTTTTGTGATTCTCAGGTAGGTGACTGGAACATCAAGAGCTCCAAAATCAAGGGCTAAGGTTCTGACATTAGATTAGAAACCCCAGCTTTACATTATAGTTGGAAGAAGGAAAACCTATGCTTCCTTCTCTTCTCTCTGCCTTTTCCTCTTTGTCTAAGAAACGTCTACTGCTTTCTGTATCAGAAATTACTTTCTTGGAAACAGTACTCCATGAGACTGTATTATGAATGCAGTCTTCGTGAGGACAAGATCCATCCCGTTCTTTTGTAAGAAAAATCTAGTATTTAGGATACAATAGAAGACCTTGGCAAAGAAGTGTTTATAAAGGATGGTCTAAGGGGAGGGAGGTAGCCTGCTTACATCATCCCCATGTGTCACCAGAGATGGCATCTTCTCAGCAAAAACCTGTGAAATAAGTTTTTTCTTTAATGAAGAAGCTCTTCTCATAGACAGTGAGGAGGTCTTCTGGGTATGAGGGAGGGCCTGAAGGGGAAATAGTACACAGTATGTGCTGGAGGAAGCACTTGGGGGCAGTGGCTTATCTAGCGGTACCTGATTAATGTGGCAGGCAATGGGAAAGGCGTTGTCTAGGCATTCTTTGTGACTGACTCTTAACTCTGGGTGTAAGGGCGAGCTCATGCAGAGAGAACTGCATGCGTGAAAGCAATACTGTACTTAGAGAAGTGACTATTGGTTCCATAGCTTTTAGGAACTAAGCACATGTTGGTTACGAATGAAATTGCTAAGAATGCACTTTCAGTAAATCATAGTGTTCAGGGAGAAAAGTGATGTCATCAGCTGACTGTGAAGGAGAATGAGAAGGAGGTAGGAAGGAGAGAAGACTGTGTAAGCATAGCTAGTGAATGCCTGAATGATCATCACCACGGATGGCGGCTTTGAGAGACAGGGTCTTGCCACAGAGCTTACTAATGCCAGTGCCTCCAGTCTCCCAGCCTTGGAAGACTATGACAGGTATGACCCACCACATTGGATAGCTTCTTTTCTGGCCATTTATCCTTCATCTGGGTAAATGGGTGGAAGCCATGGGGCAACTGGTCTAGAGGCCCAGGGAGCTTAGAGTGTGGAGGCTCAGCTCCACCACCATGCAGATAGGGGACAAGATCAGGGTCTGATGAGGAAGTGTTTTGCATCAAAAGAGGGCATAATAACTGAAGACCTTGGCACTAATAGAGTTTTATGTTGGTACTAGAAAAGACTAGTTCTAATGTATTGTAAACTGAGCTCACAGCCTTAAAGGTAAGGAAAATAAATAGACATGGGTTAGAAGGAGGGGAAAATGTCTATTACTAGGTAAATTGAGTGTGACAACTCAGAGTTTTCAGAATCTTTTGTACAATGAGAGGCAAAGTTAAGGGCTATCAGGATCAAAGCTTCTCTAAAGCAAAAAACTACATAAATATGACAAAGAACATAATACTGGCCTCAGACCATTCTTGAAGATGTTAATTTATTTTCTTTACAGGGTAGAGGTCTGACATCTTTGAGGGAGTTGCAGAGTGAGAGGTGAAGCCCACAACAGCTCCGGGTTGCCTCCCTTCACGTTGACAGGACTGCCAGGGCTGGAGACCTCCCAGCACTGGCTGTTCCTGCTCCTCAGTGTCCTCTATAATGTCTCCATAGCCGGCAATGCTCTGATCCTGTTCATCATCAGGGAGGAACAGAGTCTGCATCAGCCCATGTACTACTTCCTGTCTCTGCTGTCAGTCAATGACCTGGGCGTGTCTTTCTCCACACTGCCCACAGTCCTGGCTGTGTTTTGCTTCCACTTAAGGGAAATAAGTTTTAATTCTTGCCTGTCCCAGATGTTCTTTATCCACCTCTTCTCTTTCTTGGAGTCTGGGATTCTGCTGGCCATGAGCTTTGATCGCTATGTAGCCATCTGTAACCCCCTGCGCTACTCCACAGTGCTCACCGATGCCCGGGTGATGTGGATGGGCTTGTGTGTGTTCCTTCGAAGTTTCTGCATGGTTTTCCCCTTACCATTCCTTCTGAAGAGGCTGCCCTTCTGCAAGGCTAATGTGCTTTCCCATGCCTACTGCCTGCATCCAGATCTGATTCGCCTGCCCTGTGGTGACATTACTATTAATAATGTATTTGGTCTGTTCATAGTCAGCTCCACTTTTGGGCTGGATTCTGCGCTTATTCTCCTCTCCTATGCTCTCATACTTCGCTCTGTGCTGGCCATCGCCTCCCGGGACGAAAGGCTGAAGACCTGGAACACGTGTGTGTCACACCTGTGTGCTGTGCTCATCTTCTATGTGCCCATGGTAGGTGTGTCCATGGCTGCCCGCTACGGCAGGCGTGCCCCACGATTTGTGCATACGCTCCTGTCGCTCGTTTATCTCTTTGTACCTCCAATGCTCAACCCTGTCATCTATTCCATCAAAACCAAGGAGATTCGGCGGAGGCTTTGCAAAATCCTGTTGGGGGACAAAGTTTTGAGTTGGAGAATATTGTAAGGGTCAAGGGATGCTTGTCCTGACGGCGTGTATTTGTGCTCTGAAGCCCTGCTTTGACCTGGGAGTTTTAACTTTTTTTTTTGTCACTGACATTTCTATTGAGATTCTTGTTATCAGATTTTGTAAAACAGCATCAGCATGGTAAGAATTTTCTCAACAGGCTCTGGTGAGATAAAAAGAGATCACATTAAAATTTATCAAAAAAGCACGTGTTCCATTTCCTTCTTTTTAAAAGGAAAACTTTACTTTTTTGTAATCATTCTCCCATTACGCCTCCACTTTTTTAATTACATTCTTACATCACCTTAGATTTCTCATTACCATGGAAACATTGATGTTATGGGAATCAGATTGTTTTCTCCAAAAAGTTTGGTCAACAGATATTAGCTAAAATGTTTCCGTCTCTCTAACACATATGCACACAAATTTTATGTAACTATTTTATACGGTATGGTACCCATCTGTATAGGGTGAAATGAATGTTATTTTATATGACTTATGTTAAAAGATCTTATTTTCAGTGATATTGAAATTTAGCTGTTTTATTTTGCTATTTACATTGGATGTAATTATATGCTCGGCATCTATTTTTTCTTGTTATCTGTCTTTTTTTTTTTCTCTCTCTCAGCAAAATACCCTCAATATAAAGGATGATTCAATTTAGGATGTGATAAAATAATGTGCTACTTTATAAAATGATGGACATGCTTCAAAAGAACTTAAGCAGTGGGTATGGCAAAGAGGACAAGACATTCAGTCTTGATCCTTTAATAAACCTGCAGTCTAGACCGACCTTTAGAAAATGTAGCTCAATATAAAGTGAAACTTAGACATTCTACGTCTTCCCGTGGTGGAGCTACTTTCAAGTTCTGACTTTTTGTGATTACTTTGTCAATGCTGTCCTTCAAACCTCTTTCTTTTTTTCTTTTCTGTATTTCGTCTTTTAGTTAATGACAGTGTTTGCATATGTTTATTTGTGCACAGTCATAATTTTTATTTTAATAAAAATTTTATCTTTAAAATTAAACTTTCAAAAAGGTAAAAGACAGTTAGTTCAATGGAGTTTTATAGTTCCAGTAGGAAAAACTTCAATAAATAAAAGTTTCATTTAAATACAGTCAACAAACAAGGGTTTAGAATGTTTCCCTTTTGTGTTACCCTAAATGAACACGTTTACCTTCTCTACTGAATAATCTGGTGTTTATCTTAGGTGCAGTAAATGAATTCATCAGGTTTCCTCTGAGGTGTACCCTTGGCTGGAGCACATGGTGGCTGATGTCTCCTCTATTCTCTAGCCTTGAAGAGGGATAGCATGGACAGCTAAGGCAATTTGGGTGTGCATTAGGATAATTTATGTTCAAATTCTGATGTTGTAAATCACGTTGCTATGCTAATCAGCAAACTTTTCAGTTGGAGTCTCAATTTCTCCATTATAAAAGTTTGGTTTTAGCACAACATGGTACAAGAGCTCTTTCAATTTTAAGACTTTAAATTGGACTTGTGTCTCAGCAGTCAATCTGTGTACAGAGTGAACTGGCCTTTCTACTTTCTGGGAAGAAAAATTAGCCAGTTTTCCCACCATTTTACAAACTCTTGTTATGTATCATTGGGTCACATGTGCTCAGATCTTTAGGAATTTGTCCCTCATTTTACAAACATGAAATCTAAAACCCAAAAGAATTAAGCTTAATGGCTGGATTTAAAAGTATTTTTTAAATGTATTATTTATTTTCTTTTTATGTGCTTGAGTGTGTGCCTACACGTAAGTATTCACACCACTTGTGTGGCTGGTACTCACGGAGACAAGAAGAGGCCATTAGGTCTCACATGATGTGAGCTCCAGATAGTTGTGAGCTGGGTGTGTGCTGGCATCAAACCGGGGAGACTTGCAAGAGTGGCCAATGCCTGCAATCTTTGAGCCGTCTCTCCAGCCTTCATGAAGCCGGCTTTGAATATTGGTCAGGCCACATGGTAACAAACTTTCAGGCAGATTCCTTTATTTTATTTTTAAAAATTTTAAAAATAATTTTTTAAAAAAATTCACATTACATCCTTGTTGTAGCCCCATCCCTCCTCCTCTACCAGTCCCCTCCCTCCTCCTTCCTTCCCTTTTTCTTCAGAAAAGGAGAGCTCCCTTTCCCATCCAGCCCAGCTCACCAAGTTGCATTAGGATTGAGTGTGTCCTCTTCTTGTATGGCTTGGCAAGGCAGTCTCACTAGGGGAAAGTGCTCAAAAAGGTGGCAAGGGAGCTGTGTTTGATAGTCTCCACTTCCCTTACCAGAGGACCCGCATGAGACCTAAGCTGCCCATGTGCTCCATCGGGGGGCCTGGGTCCAGCTCCTGCGTGGCCTTGGTTGGTGCTTCAGTCTCCGCAAGCTCCTCTGGACCCTGCTTAGTTGGCTTTGTTGGTCTTCTCATGAAGCTCCTGTCACCTCCTGGACCTTTTCTCTTTCCTCCCACTTTTCCACAAGACTTTTAGGAGTCAGTAAGGTGGCTTTCTAGACAAACTTAGAGGTTACTCTATTTGCTGTCACCATATAAATAGATTTTATTGGTCATGTTATTCTTTTTCTTGAAATCTGTTTGAGTCTTGGCACAGTTATTTAAAAAGCTAATTTAGGAATCAGGGGCATCCATGGATATGAGACTCTGCCCAGCTCAATTGCTGGCTTACGTTGTACATGTCTTCTGAGTCTTGGTTCCACCAAATGAAGAGCCGAACCTGTGGACTCTCCAGGTCAACCCCAGCTTTGACTCTCAACTTCACTGATATCTTTAAGTGGGAGAGATGACAGCACACAGGGGAGCAGATTTACTCAAGTGTTCTCGCTCTTCCTAAGGCTCCACCCATCTCCTTGGGCTCGGGGACTTTTAAGAGGCAGTTTCATAGATCCCAGAGCAGGGAGTGGAAACAGATTAGTACAGTATGAAGAGCAGAGCTGTGTTATGAGAATGTCGAGCACTTGGCGTTTCTTCTCTGGGCAAGTACCTCGTTTCGTCTTTTCTCACAGCCATCAGATCCCCACCCCCGGAGGTAAATGGGGAACTTAGCCCTTCTCTCACACAGGGATCCTCAGGAACCTCTTTCCTAACTCAGGGGTTCTGAGATGGCTAGGATACAAAGATTTCAGAAAAGGCCATCAATCCTAAGTGGTTGCAACGCTACTGTGCTGGCCTGATTCTCCATTTACACTACAGGTCCTGGCATGAAGGCGCAGAGAGGCATCTGTGTTTTTGTTCGGTATGCATAGTTTTGATTGAGATCAAAGCTTCAGTGTATTAACTCTGATGTTCTCATTCGGTAGTAGACAGGAACTATACATGAGAGGCTTTGAGTGGGAAACTAGTTAAAATTAGAAACGTAGTTTAGAGGCAGAACCAGATATTCTCACCGTCTACCAATCTGCTTTCGTTGCCGTTTTCTTATCTGTCATTTTTCAGTGTGTGACTTGCACTAGAGAGCTGAATATTCACATTAAGAACTTTATTTTATACTAATGCTCATATTCTTTAAACATAAAAAAATTTATTAGAAAGTTAAATTTATAGTTCACTGTGTGGGAAAGTAAGTTCAGATTATTTTACTTGTCTCATGGATTTTACACTTAAAATGTAGGTGTTAATATATTGTTTTGAAATCAGTTAATAAATTCAATAACATTTTATGAAAGCTTAAAACTATAACTAGTAATCTCTGAGCCCATGCATGTCAGTTTTCCTATCTAAGCGTCGAGGAGAAAATGAGAAGAAGGGAGATACAAGATGGCTTAGCTGGCAAAGGCAGTTGCCACCAAGCATGAAAGGTTGAGCTTGGTTCCTGGGATCTACCTGTTGTCTTCTAATTTCCACACATGGCATGGCGTGTGCTTTCCCACTAAATAAATGACTGCAAATACGATACAGTTTAAAAATAAAAGGAAATGCAGGCAATGATTGGAGCTCATACTTTATTAAGGGAGAAAGATACTAACCAAAGAACCACAAGTGTGTCACTGTGATAAAACAATGAATAAAATATGTTAAGGCAAGAGCCAAACTTTGGAATTACCGTGGGGGTGTTCCAGTAGGCGAAGGAATAAAGGAAATGTGACACAAATATGTAGGTATATATGTATACACACATATCTGTGTGTAAGAATGAATTTTATTTTTCTATAAGGAACAATGAAGTTATATCATCTACAAGAAAACATATGTACTAAACACATATAAAATGAAATAGCCACATTGGGCCAGACTGGGAAATAAAAATAGTACATTACTTCTTATTACTGGATTCCTTAATCCTTCTTGCAGACTTTCAGATGCAACTGCTATGAATGTAGCCTGAACAGCATTTTTTATACCCCTGGACTCAATGTAGCATATGGTTCAGTTGGAGGATATTTCACCCAAGGAAACATATGAGTATCCAGAAAGTAAAATCAAAAGCAACCTGTGACAGAGAGTAAAGTTACTGAACTGTGATGGGCAAGTGAGGGGCTCAAACAACAAAGAGGAGATGAGTTCAGGAAAAGGAGAGAGACAGCTCAGAAGAGAACAAACCAGCCTTAAAGTATTAAGACCTGGAGGCTGTAGAGATGGCTCTGGGGAAAGGGAAAGGGCTTATCAAGTCTGTTCTTTCCATATGTTTGGTGGAGGAATACAAGCCTCATTACCTCCTTTGTTGAGACACTTACTGGCCCGGTCTTCACTTTTTTCATAGCTCTGTCTCATTTCATCCTTGTGCTAGCAGCTACTCAGCAAGAATGAGCTTCCACAACAATGCCTCAAGCACCTCAAGCTTCATACTAACGGGCTTCCCAGAGATGGAGAGCCTGGAGCATGGGCTGGCTGCCTTCCTGCTGCTGCTGTACGCTGTCTCTATTGTAGGCAATGCTCTGATTCTCTTCATCATCAAGGAGGAGCAGAGCTTGCACCAGCCAATGTACTACTTCCTGGCCCTTCTCTCTGTCAATGACCTGGGGGTGTCCTTTTCTACCTTGCCCACGGTGCTGGCTTCTATGTGTTTTCATGTCCCAGAGACCGCCTTTAGTGCTTGCCTGGCCCAGATGTTCTTCATACACTTGTTTTCCTGGACAGAGTCTGGGATTCTACTGGCCATGAGTTTTGACCGGTACGTAGCCATCTGTAACCCCCTGCACTATTCCTCAGTGCTCACTGATACCCGTGTGGCCCGTATGGGCATGTCCGTCATCATCCGCAGCTTCTGTATGGTCTTTCCGCTCCCTTTTCTATTGAAGAGGCTGCCTTTCTGTAAGGCCAATGTCCTGACCCATTCCTACTGCTTACACCCAGACCTGATTCGCCTGCCCTGTGGAGACACCACCATCAACAGCATGTATGGGCTGTCCATCGTCGTCTCCGCCTTCGGTGTAGATTCAGTGCTCATCCTTCTCTCTTACGTGCTCATTCTGCACTCTGTCTTGGCCATCGCCTCCCGGGCGGAGAGGCTTAAGACACTCAACACGTGTGTATCACATATCTCTGCTGTGCTCATCTTCTATGTGCCCATGATTAGTGTGTCAATGGTCCACAGATTTGTCCAGCATGCCCCAGAGTACGTGCACAAGCTCACCTCTCTGGTCTATCTCTTTGTGCCTCCAATGCTCAATCCTATTATCTATTCCATCAAGACAAAGGAGATCCGCAGGAGGCTTCACAAAATGTTATTGGGCACCAAGTTCTGACCAGGGATGCATTTTCAGAAACCCTACGTAGCTTAGAAAATTTTCTTATTTCTGATGTTTGACTGTATCCAGATAGTTTGTGGAGCCTTTAAATACATGTTTTTAGATATGGTCATGCATTCGGGGATATGTTTTGCATGCAAGATGCAGCCCAGACACAATCTGCAACTCAGAACGTCAGGTCCCTAATTAGGTCACAGTTTGCTGCAGATTAATTCTCTCCAGCACAACAAGAAAAAGGCCCTTGGATTAGATCTTTTTCGGTCCCAATATACCAGCAACACCTATGTTTTCAAGTAAGTTCATTCATACATATGTATATATGATATTATCTACTAAGAAAATGATGGTTTTGCATATCTTTAAACTTTCAACTTTCAAGTTATACAATAGTTATTTGACCGTGATGGTATGTGCTGTCCTCACTCAGGGAAGATTAAATTTCTCTGAAGAAGCTGATAGGCACACTGAGTGGGAGAGGAGCTGACACTAGAGCCTAATGGAGGGGATCAGTTCTCACCGTCTGCTGTGGCAGTGTAGCCGAGTCTACAAGAGTGTGGGTTCATGTCCGCATAAGTAGCACTGCCCAAAGACAACCCTGCCAGCTACAACAGGAACCAAGACATGACACATGCCAGGGAAACCATAGAATCCCACACATGAAGATATGTAAACCTTCTGAGACTTATAAATGTGAACACAACCCATATGACACAGGCAGTTGGACCCTGGTAGAATTAAGCACAGTGAGCTGGAGACTTTCATCACACAGTGGACAGAACATGGTATAAGTCAAATGGATGGAGAAAACACATACTTTGGGCAGAAGTCTTTTAAATATCTCTTCATATTTTTTCTTATAAAATGATTTGGTTTCAGTCTACATGTGGGTTTCCTAGTAAGGGGGGCAGAGGCAGTCACTGGCATGAACTCGATACCTATTCTTTGATCACCTACCCCTGGCGAGGTGGCCTTACCAGGCCACAGAGAAAAAGGATCCAGACAGTCCTGATGAGACCTGATAGGCTAGGGTCAGATAGTAGGGGAGAAGGACTTTTCCTATCAGTGGACTAGGGGTGGGACATAGCAGGGGAAGAGGAAAGGAGGGAGGAACAGAGAAGGGATAAGGGAGGGTGCTACAGCTGGGATACAAAGTTAACAAATTTTAATAAAAATTATTAATACAGAAAAATATCAAGAAAAGTGATTAAAGCTATGTGGACCAAGTAATATGATGGTGATGCAAATACAAGAGAGCATACATCAATGCCCACCCTTGAATCCAAACTGAAAAACAGAAAGTAAAATAACCTACAGATAACATAATGTAGATAACACAGATAGCAGAGAAATACTTGTTGCCAATTGTGGGCAAATGTATCTTAAGAAGAAGCTTGATTCGATAGATGGCTTTGTGACGGACTGGTAAAACTAGGAACACAACTTACAGGTTCCAATGTCTCAGAGGCATGAGGCAACCAAGTCCTGTCACCATAGTCCCAAGACTGTCAATTTAAAAAACGCAGCAAATGAGTTCTTCCAAAAGAGTACAGCCTCCACCTGAAGGAAAGCACGTCAAGCAAAGGAAAGAGGGTGTAGTGTGAGAGGAAGAAGGCTCTGAAGGTAACGGGAAGGGAGTCAGGTAGAAGAGAGTGCTGCAGCGTTGCAGGAGCAGGGCCTAGAACCAACACTTGTAGGAGGGCTGGAGCCGAGATGGGACGGGGCAGAGAGCAGACTCAGCTCTGACCCAGGAACAGGTAATACGCTGAGCTGTTTGCAATGCTACAGAACCAACTGAAGGCAAAGCCAGTGGAGGAACTTCTCTCCCAGGAATCTCCAGAATCACCATAGAAACCAACCTAATTAGTTTTTGGAGAGAAAGAGGGAAACAAGGTAACTCTGCGTATAGTTATGTGTAAATATGCAAAATGCCGAAGATGACAATGAACTAGCTGGGGTTAGTGATCTCTCTCCCAGCCCCCACCCATCACTAGAAACCACCTTTCTGAGTTGGGTACTTTGATAGACTAGGGTCAGATGGAAGGGGAGGAGGACTTGGAGAGGAGCATAGGGGCAGAAGGAGGGAGGGATTGGGAGGGAATGGGGAAGGGGGCTACAGCTGGGATACAAAGTGAATAAACTGTAATTAATAAAAATAAAAAGTTGAAATCTGGGACAAATGAGATGGTTCAGGAAGCAGAGGAGTTTGCACAGACCTGATGACCTGGCTACAAACCAGGGATCCAGCAAAGTTTGGTAGGACAGAACCCACTTCTGAGAGTTGTTCTCTGACTTTCATTTGCTCACTGTGGCACAGACATGCCTGCACTCAGACACACCTACACACGGAATAAATAAACACATTTAAAAAGCCCAAAGCTCGGTTTTCAGCTATATAATTTGGTGACATAATAGGGCATAAGAATGATAAGTGAGTACTTGACTCATATTGCTGTAGGGGAACTACCGTACCCATATTGAGCATGGGAAATATTTGCCAGCCACACTAAAAAATGCATATTTTGCGTTGCTACTGCTTAATATATATGAACCAACTCCTTAAATAAAGAACTTGTAATTTTTCTTTCTGAATTAATGTATTTGTTATTACTAGCAAAATAAATACTATATAGCGTGTCAGCTTCTAAATAAAATAAGACCTCATTTTTGTATTGACTGAGAAGTTTCATTATTTTGAAAAAAAAATCTATGGTTGATAATAAATAAAACAACAGTGTCCAATTTGTACCTGTTTTATTTCAAACAACTCTTCTTTATAGTTGAAGACAGTTATGTTATTTATAAAAATATTCTTAAAGACATTTGAATTCTAAATGCTGAATTTAGAACTAAATTCCTTATTAAGCATAATTACAAATCTCCTTCTTGTAGAATAGTTTCATACAATATTTCCAATCTATTGCCTGCCATTCCCTTATATAAATGTCCTTATATATGTCTGCTTAGCAGGAATTTATTTGAGTTTTATAATTATTTAAAATAATTATTTATAATTATTATTTATAATTAATTTGAGTTTTATAACTTACTTTTATACAGTTTCAAAAATTGGCTTCGTGTTGTGGCCAGTATAGAAAAAGCTAACTGACTATCTGTTAAGCTTTAGCCTGATCAATATATAAGAAACAGCTCATCTCGGTTAACAGTAAAATCAGGAATTGCATGTTGAGACCATAAAGAACTGGAGGTGTATTTCAGTATCAGAGTGCTAGCTCAGCTTGCACCAGGCCCTGGGTTCAAGCCCCAGCACCCAGGAATCTGTTTCTCCAGCTTTCATTTACCTTTAATGGACACTCTTGTAGTATTCAGCCTTTGTTATGCATTCACACAATTTTTATGGACATTTACTTCACCACTGACTATTTCATCACACTGCAGTTGCTCACAAGGACGATGTCTCTGCAGTGGCAAAGCTGTGTGTCTGAGGAGAGCTATTCAGGCTTGCAAACAACTTCATCAGCTCTGCTACACGGTGCATGGAAAATTAAGCAGATGACCAGGCATTGGCAGGGACGTGGGCACTATCTCCTTTTGGGGATCATTTCTGAAAAACCTCTTCTTCCTTGAGGTCCTGTGGAACTCCTTGCAATGTGGCTTGGTATTTCTTAGTTCTCTATTGGATCTTATTTGTCATAGGACTTTTATGACTCTTTTTTAAACAATGATTTTATTGATTATTTGGGCAATCACATTCACTTCCCAGTCCTCCCAGGTCCACCTCTCCCTACTCTTGTAACCTCCCTAAAAATGAAAGGAGAACAAGAAGAAGAAGAAGGAGGAGGAGGAGGAGGAGGAGGGGGGGAGGAGGAGGAGGAGGAGGAGGAGGAGGAGGAGGAGGAGGAGGAGGAGGAGGAGGAGGAGAAGAAGAAGAAGAAGAAGAAGAAGAAGAAGAAGAAGAAGAAGAAGAAAATACTAAGTCCAATTTGCTTTGCCCATTTACTCACTGGAGCCTGGTCAAAATTACAGTGGCCAATTTCTGCTAATTATAACTGCTTACAGTTTATCTCAGTATGAACGCTGCTCAATACTTCATTTTTTAAAGTTATAACTAGGTCTAGTGGGACTTAAAAAAGAAGTAAAGGAATTGTCTTTTAAATATTTTTTCTGGGGCAAAACTAGATATTTTGTCATTTCAATATTAAAAAAAAATTGGGTTCAAAGGAAACATTGTCACAAAACAACAGCAGTAAAACCCGGTGGTGGCTTAGATCTGTTTAGGGTTATAGTTGCAAGGCTGGCTTACCTATGGCTATGACAATAACTGTATAAGCAGTCACAATAGCCAAAGCCAAGCAAAGCAAAACTCCAGCCTTTGCTTCTGTAAAGCTTTGGGACTTGTACTTTCTGGTGGAGAAAGGATGGGAGAAAGGGAACAGAGCCAGAGGCTTTTTGAGGAGCCACCTAGTCTCTTGTTCTATTTTTGTTTGTTTGTTTTTCCTCTTCAGGTCATACTATGCTCAGACAAATGCTCCCTTCTCTGTCTTTGGGCAAACATCAGGAACTGTTTTTCTTACTTTTACTTAGCAACTCTCTTAAGCCTTTTCTTTTCATCAAATATCGTTATTTAAAAAATAAAAATCTAAAATCATGATTTGCATCCTAAAGCAAGCTAGGAGTTTCTTATATGATTCAGTAAATTTATTTTTAAGTTGATAGTTACATTTGACTGTAGACTAAACTTTTCTGTTTACTTTACTTTCGAAATTGTTTTGCTATATTATTCAATAATTCTCTAAAAAGTTAACTTAGTGGACCAATAAACATGAGTGTCTTACTGTACTCATGGCTGAGTTTTGAGACCTGGCACACAAATACTCATTTATAAAGAGCTCCCTCCCATTGTACCCAGCACCCGATCTTGAATTTACACAGTAGAGTCTTGCATACCAAGGAAAATATTGTATCAGTGGTGTCCTCTGCTGCCCTGGGATTCTAGCTCAGTTTTTCTGACATAGATTTCATAGTCACTACCATTTATT